TTTCAATATATGCATAGATTGTACAGTGATTCACTTAGGGTAGATAGCATATCCATCACCTTAACATTTATCTGTCCTTTGTGGTGATTACGTTCAAGGTCCTCTTTCCTAGCTATTTAGAAATATGCAATACAATATTACTAGCTATAGTCAGCCTAGAACACCATAACTTATTCTTCCCATCTAGGAGGTTGCATTTAAGGTAAGAGCTAAATGATATGCAGAAGTTAGGCATAGAAAGATCTGGAGGAAGAACATTCTAGACAGAAAGCAGATTTCATGTGGCCCCGAGGCAGGGATGTTCAAGAAACAGAAGAGACAGTCAGGGTTGCTGCACACACAGAAAAAGTGGGGAGAGCAGAATAAGACAGGATGGAGAGGCAGGAACTGGTTTTATTTGTACAGGGATTTCCTTGTGACCAGGATAAGGCATTTTGATTTTCTTCTAAGTGCTATGAGAAGCTGTTGGATGGATTTTAGCATGGGAATGACCTGATTTGTTTGGAGTCTAAACAGCTCACCATTGCTGCTGCCATATGGAAAGTCAATCTCATCTTTGCATCCAATATAATATATTCTCCTAGTCCAGGTTACCATCATCTCTCAATGGCCTTTCTAATAAGTGACAATGGGCAAAGATTTTTTTTTAAAGAGAGAAATCATTAAAAATAAGAAGGAGGAAAGAAGAATGAAGGAAGGGAATCCAAACAGAGAAAAAAAAAATGGAGAATTCAGTTTTTAGAAGAATTACTCTTTAAAATGTTTAGCCCCGGTGCCCAAGGAAAACTTTGGAGCTCTCCCTGTCATCATTGTTAAAAGCATGCTAAGTATTGATCCTTTTGCAGTGTGGTCCTCTGATTATACAGACAAAGGAAGTTTTAGTTGGAATCTATGACCGTGGCGTTAAATGAGTTGTTAGTAACTGTTTCTGCTTGGGTTAGTATACACTGGCTGTGTATGTGTGTCGTAGCTCAGGTCAAACAAACCTCCCACTGACACTGAGGAAAAGAGTTTTCCCATATAATCCTACAGTATGGAATTCTCTAGCCTAAAGGGTAAGGCTGTTTCTTTGATCAGGGATTATGAGCTGGAAGCTGATTTTCTCAGCTTTAGAGATAATTTAAGAGTGTGTCCTTGAGTGTTGTAGAAGGAACTTTGCCATTTAGAGAATCTTGTGAGGTAAAAGAAATTCGGGCAGCATCTTTATTTGGTGGGCACATGAACATGGACTAAAGGTTTCATAAAACTTGGAACTTAGTCTGTAAATAGTTATCTAAAAAATAAACAACACAGTTCCAGGGCGTTTTAGATTTCATGCTGTGGCGGGTATCTTCTTTCACCAGGTGTCGCATTAGCCGAATCTTACGAAGCCCTCAGGGTCATGCCCTCTTGATTGGAGTGGGGGGCAGTGGCAAGCGGAGTTTGTCTAGGCTGGCAGCATTCATCTGCGGCCTGCAGGTCTTCCACATGACTCTGACTGAAGGCTATGGAGTCCAGGAACTTCGGGTGAGTAAGGTGGGGGGCAGTACCTCTAACCCTTCTGTCTGGCAGACGAAGCATCTGCCCTGACTCCCGATTTGTCCATGGCCTCCCCAATTGTGGGAGAGGAGGAGCTCTTTAGAGGAGGTATTTACCTTTGGCTGTTTTGTCTTCATGGTCAATTAGTAATAATAAATTTCTAGAAATTTTTTTATAAGTTTAATAATGTATAAACCTGGCTCAGAAGATATTTTATTGAATACTTGCTTACAGAGATATGTTTTTTACTTCACATTAAACAAGCCTGATGTTTGACACTATTAATGTTCCTGTATGATTGGTATGAGGGAGAAGACACTTTGATTACAAGTGCAGATAGATTTCTTCCACTTTGGATAAGAATATGACAGTAAAATGTAATGGGAACAGCATATTCAAGAAACTCTCATGTGTTTTACAAATTTTTCTTTTTAATCACAATAGTACTTACAAAATAGTTCTTGCAAAATAGTACTTACATTTTGTGGCAAGTGCTGTTTTAAATTTTAAAAGTCACAGGCTTTTAATATAAGTAACCAAATAAATAAATAAAAACCATTTTCAATGAAATAGACAACAGTTGAAATGAGCAGACGGATTCCTTTTCCTGCATTGCTTGACAAAATCATCACTGAATTCATTTCCACTCTATCGGAAGGAGTTTTTTGTGCAACAGCAGCCTGTTTTCATCCCTGTGTTCCATGAAGCCACAAACATGACGCTCATCATTATGTGCCAGGAATGGAGGTGAGGTCATGCTGTGGTCCCCTATCTAGGGGTCACGGAGAGGGAAGACTGTGTTGTGTAAACAGGGAAAAGCACAGCATGCTGCTCTGGCATTAGGTACTCAGTTCTTCCCAGCATTCACACACGCTCCCACTGTCGCATCAGCATTTTAACAAAACATGAATGATGGCCTCCTTTCCTTACAGGTAGATCTTGCCAATTTGTATCTCAGGACTGGAGCCAAGATCATGCCCACTGTGTTCCTGCTGACAGATGCCCAGGTTCTAGATGAGAGCTTCCTCGTGCTGATTAATGACTTGCTGGCATCAGGTGATTAAACCAACACATTTCTTGAGAGACCTTCCCCAATGACAAATTATCTGTAGTTTCAGTGAACTTTAAAGAGAGATAATTTGTCTTTGAGATGTTTGCTGGGGCAGTCTTTGGGGAGAAACCTATAAACCCAGCTAATTTGGGGTGTATTGCTTTCTTAGTCTGCTTATGGATCAGTGCCTGGAGATGCCTTCAGTGAAGTAAATGTTATTCCTGCATAGACAGGTTTAGTGGGTGTGTTCATCAGCCTTTGTCCTCAACATGTTGTATGTCTTGTAAGTGGAAAAAAAAAAGACATTTTTGATTTCAAACTCTTATCATTTATGTCAAACTTTGTCTTATAAAGCATTTCAAACAGTAAAAAGTCATATCTAAAATTTGAATTGCAACAATCTTTCAGTAGTTCTACTTATTGTTTTGGGGGCAGGAGAAATCCCAGATCTGTTCAGTGAGGAAGATGTAGACAAGATAATTTCTGGAATTCGTAATGAACTTCGTGGTCTGGGCTTGGTGGACTCCAGAGAAAATTGTTGGAAATTCTTTCTGGCCAGGGTGCGACTACAGCTCAAAGTAAGAAACATTTGCTTTACTTGCATATTATTTCAAACCTGCTGTTGGAACTATTATACTGTTCTGTTTCAGGTTTCCTATTGTGGGTTTGAATTTCAGTGATTCATTTTGAAAGAACATGTGCATGTCCACATGCCTGTGTCTGGAGTGAGCCTTCCTAGTCTGCTGTGATGCTGAGCATTGCGTGCACAATTCGATTGAACTACACAGGGTCTCTGTCCTTGAGAAGTTCACACTGTTACAGGAGACCAGAGATGTTACAAAGAATTGTTATATAGGACTTGGGATTATGGAGGAGCACATTCTCCTCCCTAACTGGAGAAAGTCATCCTGGAGGAAGTGATGTGCCACATCTCATGCATGGATCAGAATTCATGGGAAGGAACTTTCAGGGAGAGGGAGTAGCATTTATATATGGGCGGACGTTATGATACATATTTGGAGAAACGTGAGATAGCTCTAAGGGTCTGGAACACAGAGTTCCTGTGAGGAGAACAAGGTCAATAAGTCTGGAAGAGCACATTTTGATGAGGTGAGGGGTTTGTAAATCATTAAGTGAGCTTAGGGAGGGTTTTGAGTTAAGGAAGTGATGATTATATTAGTACTTCAGGGAAAGTAACATAGGAGCACCACACAGATGTTCTGGGCNCTCAGGACTGGAGCCAAGATCATGCCCACTGTGTTCCTGCTGACAGATGCCCAGGTTCTAGATGAGAGCTTCCTCGTGCTGATTAATGACTTGCTGGCATCAGGTGATTAAACCAACACATTTCTTGAGAGACCTTCCCCAATGACAAATTATCTGTAGTTTCAGTGAACTTTAAAGAGAGATAATTTGTCTTTGAGATGTTTGCTGGGGCAGTCTTTGGGGAGAAACCTATAAACCCAGCTAATTTGGGGTGTATTGCTTTCTTAGTCTGCTTATGGATCAGTGCCTGGAGATGCCTTCAGTGAAGTAAATGTTATTCCTGCATAGACAGGTTTAGTGGGTGTGTTCATCAGCCTTTGTCCTCAACATGTTGTATGTCTTGTAAGTGGAAAAAAAAAAGACATTTTTGATTTCAAACTCTTATCATTTATGTCAAACTTTGTCTTATAAAGCATTTCAAACAGTAAAAAGTCATATCTAAAATTTGAATTGCAACAATCTTTCAGTAGTTCTACTTATTGTTTTGGGGGCAGGAGAAATCCCAGATCTGTTCAGTGAGGAAGATGTAGACAAGATAATTTCTGGAATTCGTAATGAACTTCGTGGTCTGGGCTTGGTGGACTCCAGAGAAAATTGTTGGAAATTCTTTCTGGCCAGGGTGCGACTACAGCTCAAAGTAAGAAACATTTGCTTTACTTGCATATTATTTCAAACCTGCTGTTGGAACTATTATACTGTTCTGTTTCAGGTTTCCTATTGTGGGTTTGAATTTCAGTGATTCATTTTGAAAGAACATGTGCATGTCCACATGCCTGTGTCTGGAGTGAGCCTTCCTAGTCTGCTGTGATGCTGAGCATTGCGTGCACAATTCGATTGAACTACACAGGGTCTCTGTCCTTGAGAAGTTCACACTGTTACAGGAGACCAGAGATGTTACAAAGAATTGTTATATAGGACTTGGGATTATGGAGGAGCACATTCTCCTCCCTAACTGGAGAAAGTCATCCTGGAGGAAGTGATGTGCCACATCTCATGCATGGATCAGAATTCATGGGAAGGAACTTTCAGGGAGAGGGAGTAGCATTTATATATGGGCGGACGTTATGATACATATTTGGAGAAACGTGAGATAGCTCTAAGGGTCTGGAACACAGAGTTCCTGTGAGGAGAACAAGGTCAATAAGTCTGGAAGAGCACATTTTGATGAGGTGAGGGGTTTGTAAATCATTAAGTGAGCTTAGGGAGGGTTTTGAGTTAAGGAAGTGATGATTATATTAGTACTTCAGGGAAAGTAACATAGTACATTTTGATGAGGTGAGGGGTTTGTAAATTATTAAGTGAGCATAGGGAGGGTTTTGAGTTAAGGAAGTGATGATTATATTAGTACTTCAGGGAAAGTAACATAGGAGCACCACACAGATGTTCTGGGCATTGACCCAGTGTTCCTCTGCATTGGCTACTCTATGCTCTAGTGTATCATACAGGGATGGAACAGGAGTATAACCACATAACAGCATTAGTGAAGGTCAAGTATTAGAAGAAAAGCCTCCAACTCATGGCAGGAAGCCAATCTAAGAATGCTGTTATGGAAAATTCAGGTTTCCTAGTTTAGAAATTGTTAGTAATTTGGGAGAGTTACTATGCCAGTTCTAGTATTGCTGGCTTGTGAAGTTAGTAACAGGCTCTGTGGTGGCCCTAGAGCCTGGAGTATTTAAGGAAAGGGAACAGGGAGTGGTAATAGCCATGAATATACATTTGCTTGAAGCTTAAGGAATAGAGTAACTGTCGGTTTCTCCAACACCCTCCTATGTCAAATTTCACACTAATCTGAGCAATTCTGGGCTAAGGTTAGAATTTAAGGGTCAGATGCCCAGAGTTTTCTCTCCATCAAAAATGTGACTAAGAATATTTTTGCCACGTAGTAACAAGGCCAGGGATTTCTCCCTGTTCTGTTGTGGTATAATTGAATCAAATTTTCTTTATGGAACGGGAAAACAAGTGCAATAACTGAATTTGAGGCCGTAATGTTATAAGTCAGTTATTCTTAAAGTGTGTTCCTCAGAGATGCAGAATCAACATTACCTAGAAACTTTTTAAGAATGTGAATTCTCCAGCCCCACCCCAGACCTCCTGAATCAGAAACTGTGGATGGGGCTCAGAAATCTGTTTCAACAAGCCCTGCAGGTGATTCAGAGGCATGCTGAAATTTGAGAACCATTGTTATAAATAAGGCTAGAATAAGCATTCTATGTGTACATCTTTTATGCTCAACTTTGCCTGTTTCTACAGGATAAATTCCTAGAAGGGGAATTGCTTGATTCCATAGTTACAGCTTGTGTTTTAAAACATGCCTGCAAATTCCTTGATGCTCTTCTTACCGGCAGCAGGCATCTAGATCCCCTCTGCTTGAATCTGGATGGGTTTATGACTGCTTCAACTAACAGAGTATGGAGAAATAGTGCTAAGTAACTCCTGAGGCTAAAGAACCCACTTTTCTATTGAATTGTACATATTGCTGTTTATAAGAATCCTGTGTATATTAAGCAATTAGCCTTTGCACATGTGTCTTGTATATATTTTTCCTATTCTACCATTTGTCTTTTTTTTTTTTTTCCTTTTTGTCTTTTTTACTGACCGGTAACGGGATCTCAACCCTCGGTGTCACACCCATACCGGGGACTGGCAACGGGATCACAACCCTCAGTGTTGCGCCCGCACCACACTCAGCCAGTGAATGGGAACCGGTCTCCACATGGGATCCAAACCCTCGGCAGGAGCGCCGCTGCGCTCCCAAGTGGCGCACTCTCCAGTGCGCCACCGGGCCGGCCCCTACCATTTGTCTTTTAAATTAAATATGGTGCATGTTTGTTTATTACTTTCAAATTTTTCAAAAGTTTGTATATTAGACTAATCAGTATTTTCCTTAATGAATTTGGGGTTTCTTGTGAATTTAGAAAAGTATTTTACTCTCCAAGATTATCTTCATTAGAAGCAGTTGGAACTCAATTAGGCTACAAGTAAGAGAAAACCCAACAGACAGTTCCTCAAAGCCTCTCACATCCCTAAGTTCATTCTGGCTCAATGACACCCAGAGAGACCCATGCTCTTCCCCTCTTTCCCTTCTGCAAGCTTCCATAGTCATGCCACTTGCCTCCTGATCACAGGTGGGTGCAGTAGGTTTATATTCCAGGCAGGAAGAAGGAAGGAGAGGAGGACCTGGGGGCCATCTGTATCAGGAAACCGAAGCTTCCCCCCAGACTCTAAGTTGATGTCTTATAGGCCCCAAGTGCATCACATGCCGCCTCCAGCTATGACGGAGTGTGGGGGATTGAATATTTGATCTTGGCACACTGACTTTATCCATAAAATGAATTTTGGAATAGTTAAAACAGCAGTATCAGTAATTCCAGTGCCTGCATGCTTTCATGGTCTGTGTTTAAAACTTCGCTCCCTCTAGAATATATTTTTCTATATAGGGTAAAGAGTAAACTGAGGTTTCAGGTTATTTTTCCCAAAAAGATATCTTTTCATCTCAACATCATACATTTCTTCCTTACCAATTTCAAGCACCACCTTTATTATATGCCAAATAGCCATATTAATTGGGTCTATCTCCAGATTCTCTGTTCTCCTTTCTTGCTAAGTCTCTCTTCACTAATCACAGCATTGCACTGGGTAAGTTAGCAACGATTTATCATATATTTTCATATCTAATTGCTCTTTCTTTTCAAGTTTTTCTTTGTTATTCTCATGTGTTTACATATCTGAATAAGCATTAGAATCAATTTGTCAAATTCTAAACACACTATTTTATTTTTATTGAAAACATGCTAAATGCTTATTTTATATTAGGGAGAATTTCATTTTTATAGTATAAAGTCTTTTCTTGCTTTTATAGCAGGAATATTTCTTTCATAAAGTTTTATAATAGCATATTACTTGTATATAGGAGAGCTATTGATTTTTAATATCAGTGTAAGAGAGGCAGGTACTTTACTGCCTCTGTTACAGTTTCCAGTAGTGATTGATACCATATAGCCTGCAGGTAAAGATATTTAGTCTTTCCTACTATTCTATTTATCTGTTCCCCTCCCTCACTGCATTGGTAAATACTGCAGAACAACGTTAAATAATAAGGGTGATAGTAGGAATTTTGTCTTGATTCTTACTTTAATGAAGATGTTTCTTATATTTCACTGTTATGTCTTATGTTGGCTTTTGATTCAGGATACATATCTTGTCAAAGAAATATCTACCTAGTAAATTCTTTTTCAGTATCTATTGAGATAATTATATGGTTTTCTCTTTGGACCTACCAGTTCATATAGTACAGACTGAGATACAGAAGTTT